GGTGGGTCAGTGTGTGTGTGTCAGCCTATCGGTTCTCACAGCACACCACGACAGGATATTCGCCGTTCGAGTTGGTTTATGGTGTTTACCCGCGTGTGCCCGTTGTGAGTGAGATCATTGATGACGCAGATAAGCTGCAGTGTGACACTTACGCGAATTATGTGAGTGACCTGAAGCGCCGTCTCGAGGTGGACCGCGACCAGGCCCATCAGTCACTGCAGGACAGCCAGTCGCGCTCGTCTGTGGCTGGAACGAGTGACATTGAAGTAGGCGATACGGTGATGCTAAAAGTGCAGGCAGTGAAGCGTGGTAAGAGCAGGAAACTGTCCGCTCGTTTTACTGGACCATATGTAGTCGTCAAAGTGCAGCGACCTGATTATAGGATTAAGCGGGGACGAAAGCAGGTGCTTGTGCATGGTAGTAACCTGAAGAAAGTAGAAAGTTCTGTGCGGGACGATTCAGAACGGGCGACATGTGTGACGGTTCCTGTCACTGTCAGTGTGTCTGACGAGGAACCGGACCTCGGTGCCTGTATTCCGCTGTTAGGTCGGACCGCTGTCGGGCCATTGCTGGCGGTCCGCTCCGATGAAGTTTCCGGTCGTGTGGACTCGCCGAGTAGCGCTGAAAGTGAATGTGCTCTGTCGGACTCGGATAGTTCGGATTCGGAGCCGGACGGAACTCCCATCCGTCCGCCAACTGCTGTTAGCCGCTATGGCCGCCCAGTGCGACGCCCGCAACCGTATTCGCCAGGTTAGGCCCTCGGGTGTGCACCTGTGACCTAGGTGTCCGTACTTTTTGAAGGGGAGGATGTTGTGGATCAGCTGCCGCTGTTGACGATCGGCCGTCGCGCGCCGATCCGGTGACCCAGTTTTGTCGATCAGCTGATCGTAATTTGTCGGCCGGCCGCCAGAGGCGCTGTTTGTCCTTCTCGCGACGGACCTGTGTGGCGGCGGGCGGCCGGCTTGTGTGGCCGAGAGTTTTGAGCATTAGTAAGCGGTTACAGTGCTACCTTCGTGTTTAAATTAAGTTTAATAAAGCTCTAGTAATCGTAACAATGTGCATATTGCCGGGGTTGGTGGCGAAATTAGGGGCAATACTTAGAAAGGGCCTCTTTGGGGCCCTCTTTGGGCCCCTTCCTTTGGATTCCCCGGTAGGTTTCTTCAGCCAGATTGAAGAGGGGGCCCAGAAGAGTGTCTGTGCAAATTTTGAAGAAAATCGTAGGGGCCGCCCCATTGGGCCCCAAATTTCAATTGGGTTGCATGGGCCCCAGGTGGGCCCCATCGAAAAATGTTACTTGGGTTTTTTGTTCGGGAAATTACGCTCTTTCCAATGATGTGCATATTGCCGGGGTTGGTCGCGAAATTAGGGGCAATACTTAGAAAGGGCCTCTTTGGGGCCCTCTTTGGGCCCCTTCCTTTGGATTCCCCGGTAGGTTTCTTCAGCCAGATTGAAGAGGGGGCCCAGGAGAGTGTCTGTGCAAATTTTGAAGAAAATCGTAGGGGCCGCCCCATTGGGCCCCAAATTTCAATTGGGTCCCGTGGGCCCCAGGTGGGCCCCATCGAAAAATGTTACTTGGGTTTTTTGTTTGGGAAATTACGCTCTTTCCAATGATGTGCATATTGCCGGGGTTGGTCGCGAAATTAGGGGCAATACTTAGAAAGGGCCTCTTTGGGGCCCTCTTTGGGCCCCTTCCTTTGGATTCCCTGGTAGGTTTCTTCAGCCAGATTGAAGAGGGGGCCCAGGAGAGTGTCTGTGCAAATTTTGAAGAAAATCGTAGGGGCCGCCCCATTGGGCCCCAAATTTCAATTGGGTCCCGTGGGCCCCAGGTGGGCCCCATCGAAAAATGTTACTTGGGTTTTTTTTTTGGGAAATTACGGTCTTTCCAATTATGTGCATATTGCCGGGGTTGGTCGCGAAATTAGGGGCAATACTTAGAAAGGGCCTCTTTGGGGCCCTCTTTGGGCCCCTTCCTTTGGATTCCCCGGTAGGTTTCTTCAGCCAGATTGAAGAGGGGGCCAGGAGAGTGTCTGTGCAAATTTTGAAGAAAATCGTAGGGGCCGCCCCATTGGGCCCCAAATTTCAATTGGGTCCCGTGGGCCCCAGGTGGGCCCCATCGAAAAATGTTACTTGGGTTTTTTGTTTGGGAAATTACGCTCTTTCCAATGATGTGCATATTGCCGGGGTTGGTCGCAAAATTAGGGGCAATACTTAGAAAGGGCCTCTTTGGGGCCCTCTTTGGGCCCCTTCCTTTGGATTCCCCGGTAGGTTTCTTCAGCCAGATTGAAGAGGGGGCCCAGGAGAGTGTCTGTGCAAATTTTGAAGAAAATCGTAGGGGCCGCCCCATTGGGCCCCAAATTTCAATTGGGTCCCGTGGGCCCCAGGTGGGCCCCATCGAAAAATGTTACTTGGGTTTTTTGTTTGGGAAATTACGCTCTTTCCAATGATGTGCATATTGCCGGGGTTGGTCGCGAAATTAGGGGCAATACTTAGAAAGGGCTCTTTGGGGCCCTCTTTGGGCCCCTTCCTTTGGATTCCCCGGTAGGTTTCTTCAGCCAGATTGAAGAGGGGGCCCAGGAGAGTGTCTGTGCAAATTTTGAAGAAAATCGTAGGGGCCGCCCCATTGGGCCCCAAATTTCAATTGGGTCCCGTGGGCCCCAGGTGGGCCCCATCGAAAAATGTTACTTGGGTTTTTTGTATGGGAAATTACGGTCTTTCCAATTATGTGCATATTGCCGGGGTTGGTCGCGAAATTAGGGGCAATACTTAGAAAGGGCCTCTTTGGGGCCCTCTTTGGGCCCCTTCCTTTGGATTCCCCGGTAGGTTTCTTCAGCCAGATTGAAGAGGGGGCCAGGAGAGTGTCTGTGCAAATTTTGAAGAAAATCGTAGGGGCCGCCCCATTGGGCCCCAAATTTCAATTGGGTCCCGTGGGCCCCAGGTGGGCCCCATCGAAAAATGTTACTTGGGTTTTTTGTTTGGGAAATTACGCTCTTTCCAATGATGTGCATATTGCCGGGGTTGGTCGCAAAATTAGGGGCAATACTTAGAAAGGGCCTCTTTGGGGCCCTCTTTGGGCCCCTTCCTTTGGATTCCCCGGTAGGTTTCTTCAGCCAGATTGAAGAGGGGGCCCAGGAGAGTGTCTGTGCAAATTTTGAAGAAAATCGTAGGGGCCGCCCCATTGGGCCCCAAATTTCAATTGGGTCCCGTGGGCCCCAGGTGGGCCCCATCGAAAAATGTTACTTGGGTTTTTTGTTTGGGAAATTACGCTCTTTCCAATGATGTGCATATTGCCGGGGTTGGTCGCGAAATTAGGGGCAATACTTAGAAAGGGCCTCTTTGGGGCCCTCTTTGGGCCCCTTCCTTTGGATTCCCCGGTAGGTTTCTTCAGCCAGATTGAAGAGGGGGCCCAGGAGAGTGTCTGTGCAAATTTTGAAGAAAATCGTAGGGGCCGCCCCATTGGGCCCCAAATTTCAATTGGGTCCCGTGGGCCCCAGGTGGGCCCCATCGAAAAATGTTACTTGGGTTTTTTGTTTGGGAAATTACGGTCTTTCCAATTATGTGCATATTGCCGGGGTTGGTCGCGAAATTAGGGGCAATACTTAGAAAGGGCCTCTTTGGGGCCCTCTTTGGGCCCCTTCCTTTGGATTCCCCGGTAGGTTTCTTCAGCCAGATTGAAGAGGGGGCCAGGAGAGTGTCTGTGCAAATTTTGAAGAAAATCGTAGGGGCCGCCCCATTGGGCCCCAAATTTCAATTGGGTCCCGTGGGCCCCAGGTGGGCCCCATCGAAAAATGTTACTTGGGTTTTTTGTTTGGGAAATTACGCTCTTTCCAATGATGTGCATATTGCCGGGGTTGGTCGCAAAATTAGGGGCAATACTTAGAAAGGGCCTCTTTGGGGCCCTCTTTGGGCCCCTTCCTTTGGATTCCCCGGTAGGTTTCTTCAGCCAGATTGAAGAGGGGGCCCAGGAGAGTGTCTGTGCAAATTTTGAAGAAAATCGTAGGGGCCGCCCCATTGGGCCCCAAATTTCAATTGGGTCCCGTGGGCCCCAGGTGGGCCCCATCGAAAAATGTTACTTGGGTTTTTTGTTTGGGAAATTACGCTCTTTCCAATGATGTGCATATTGCCGGGGTTGGTCGCGAAATTAGGGGCAATACTTAGAAAGGGCCTCTTTGGGGCCCTCTTTGGGCCCCTTCCTTTGGATTCCCCGGTAGGTTTCTTCAGCCAGATTGAAGAGGGGGCCCAGGAGAGTGTCTGTGCAAATTTTGAAGAAAATCGTAGGGGCCGCCCCATTGGGCCCCAAATTTCAATTGGGTCCCGTGGGCCCCAGGTGGGCCCCATCGAAAAATGTTACTTGGGTTTTTTGTTTGGGAAATTACGCTCTTTCCAATGATGTGCATATTGCTGGATTTTGTCGATGTTATAGGCCTGAAATTGTTGAAAACGTTTATTTATGCCCCGAGGGCATACTCCCGGGCCCATATATTTGAAGCTGTTTTGTTCGGTTCAGGGGGGCGCTAGCCCCCTAAATTTGGTACCGTTGCATGTAAAATTTTGTCCTCTTTCGAATGACGTGCATTTTTAGCTGTTTTGACGGCTAGAAGTAGGGTTTTCAAAGTTCGTCGATTGTGCCCTGAGGGCATACTGTTTTTTGGGATTTGTGGCCCCCCTGATGGATTCCCCGCATTTTGGCACTAGGATTTTCGATAGAGGACACCATTCTGCACCTCTCCACCAAAATTCAGCGAAATCGTAGGGGCCGTCGATCCCTGCTGAATCCCTGCTGAACCCCTGCTGAATCCCTGCTAACTTCCGTTACATCAAAATGTTGCAGTATAGGGCCTTGTGTTGCAGTTCCGGCGCACTTGGGTCATTTATATTATGTTCAGCATTCTGCTCACACAAGCTCAATGCATACGTATAATAAAATAGGGTAAACTAATTGAGTGATTTAACAAATGATTTCTAATTTAAACACTCAAATCTATCCCGTTTGATTTTACCTTGTTTCAAAATGTCCATCAAATTTAAACTTATGGGTAAATGTTTTCTAAGAAAAATATTGCGTCATATTTCTGGTGAGCCCAATAAAATTTACAGTTTATTTTCTTGTCAATGAACAGAAACCAGTACGTTAATTGTGCTCAGTGAAGGTTTCCGGCGTTTCCGGCAAGGCACTGTTGGTGTTTCCGGCAAGTTTCCGAAATATTATTCGCTATGCATGCCAAGTATATGGATATTAGAGTTGAAATTCCTGCACAGATGTAACATTCACCCAAATAAGATCCTCAGAATCCAGTGATGGCAGCGTTTCAGCTACAGGTACGCTGACGGCTCAGACACTTCAACTTGAACTTGAACTTAGAGTAGTGGTAGACTATCGTATCAGTATTGAGGACGTTTTGTTAAATATTGTCCCAAATATATCATCTCGATGTGTAAGGTTGTACATGCTATTTTGTGTCCAAACATGGATTGTTTGTTGTTAATGTGTTTTGTTTTTGCTGAGTATACTTCTTATTTCACTGCTGTAATCTTGCCAGGCGGATGTGCGCGATGACGAGGAGCAGCAGACGAAGTACCAGGAGTGTCTGGACCTGCTGTTGGCAGCCGGATACTTCAGAGCCCGCATCCGGGGCCTCAGCCCTTTTGACAAGCTGGTTGGAGGCATGGTCTGGTGCATTGAGATGTGCAGTTTGGATGTGGACGTCGATCTCTTTTACAAGGACGAGCTGACCATTGGACAAAAAATGTGAGCTGAAATGAGAGTAGGTAGGTGTTTGACCCCATGTTGCAGAGTTTGACCTTTATTAAGAGTAGGCACACCCAGTTCTCATTTATGTTCATCTTTTTATTTGTTGCCATTATCACATGCAGTACAGTGTATCATGTATGTTAACGTTACAAACCGCGATACCTGTGCATTATGCGTATGTCTCCCATTCCACCTCGCTCTGTTGCCATGTTGACTGGTGCCGCTCTTACTGTCAGTGGTGTGACCGAGCGGATTATCGAGGTGCTACCTAAGATGTCCTGCCCCCACCGGATCGAGCCGCACCAGATCCAGGGCCTCGACTGCGTACACATTTACGCAGTTATGCAGGTGGGTGTAAGGCTCAATCATTGATAAAGTTGAGTCGGAGCCTGGCCGTCGGGTCAGTCAGTCTCGCGAGTTAGGTCGGGGGGTCAGTGCGTCGGCTGTAGGAAACGTCTGGTGAGCTGATGACGTCAATGATTATGGAGACAGAATTCACTGATTAACCGATCACCTTAAGTACTTCCTGTTTGGTAGTTTTACTTCACTCAGTCAGTTTTACCTAACCACGGTAATTTTTCATGAAGTCTTAAGCATTTTCGTAGGCGATTCACGGACAAAAGTGCTTATGGCAAAAGTACGTATGACAAAAGTACGTAGGACAAAGGAACGTTCGCAAATGTTCGTACGCAACAGCACGTAGGCGATAAAGTATTTGAGGACAAAAGTACGTATCTCCAAAATAGCCGACCTAACCCGACCTGACCTGATCTAAGCTAAGCTAACCCATCCTCAACCTAACCCAACCTAACCTCAAGTAATCCAGCCTAACCTAACCTAACCCATACTTTTATCCGTACTTACTTTTTACCTTGCGTACATAAGCGATACGTACTTCTGTCATTCGTCCTGTTGCTGGCGTACATTTGTCATACGTACTTTTGCCATGCATGCAGTTGTCCGAAACCCTTCATAAACGCATGTCTCATAGCTGCTTGCGCTTTCGTGGTGAGTGATGCGGCTTCGATTGCTATCCTCCGAATAGATGTATAATTATTGACATTGGGACCAGTCGTAGTTCACAGTGGTTATGTATGTTCGCTGTGCTTATCACCGATACCATGCTGCTACCTCGTGCCCTTATTACCCCTGATAACCCGTCTGTGCCTGCCAACTGGTCAGTGGTTGGTGAAGAAGGCTCTGGAGAACCAGGCCGAGACCACCAGCCACACGCTCGGCCACGGCGTGTTTCAGTTCAACCAGAGGCAGCCGACTCTGGCGCCCAGCCAGCCCGCGGCCAACCGTGCCCTCGTTCAGCTGGTGGAGGTGAGAGGGCGCTGGGTTCTTAATGGTAGGTTTGGGAGGGCGCTGTAGTTCCTGCCGATATGACAGGGAGGGCGCTGGGATTCCATCGGAGACGGCTGGAGGGCGCTGGAGTTCCTACTGCTGCCACTGGGAGGGCGCGAGGTTTCCTGCTGGAGACGGCTGGAGGGCGCTGGGGCTCCTACTGTTAGCTAAGGGATGGCGGCGCTGGAGTTCTCACTGTTATCTTAGGGAGGGCGCGAGGGTCCCTGCTGGCTACGGCTGGAGGGCGCTGGAGCTCCAATGGGTCGCAGCGAGAGGGCGCTGAGTATCCAACTGGTAGAATTTCGACGTTGAAGGGCTGCGGCTTCTACTTGTGGCGATGGAAGGACGCTGGGGGCCTTAACTGGAAAAGACTAGAGGGGACTTATTCCTGGGTCCTTTGTTGTCACACTGCTTTCGTGTTAACACCGATGTCATGTGGATTTTGTAAACCAGCGTGCACGTTGTGAATGGATGATAATCTCCTTATCATTCGTTTACTTTTAACTATGCTAAAATTTTAGACAAAGCTGTTACTTTATGGGTTTCGCGAATAAAAGATCTGCGTGCTTGAAGAACTACGATGTCGCAATTTGTTTGGTTGTTTGATATTGGCAATGTGGGCGCAAAATGACCTCGCAGTCGGCGCGCCCCTAACCCCTAAAAAATGATCTTTACAATGTTAGATGTCTGCATTGTAAGTTGTAACTGTCAGTGCTTTAAGAAGGGAACTATCAGCACAAACTCGTGCTACAGTATTATATTTCTGAACAACAGACAACTATTACAGAACAACTGACTGGTGTGTGCGTGTTATATGCATCTGACGGCATCCCCCGTTCCTGTCTGCCCAGGAGCGGTTTTGTCCGGTGTCTCAGCCCAGGGACCGCCGCGCGGATCAGCCAGGGGAAGAGGCGCCGGACCTGATCACCGAATCGGAGCCCTCCCTGCAGGTTAGTTGATGCCGTGCGTGCTCGCGTGATCATATCTGTGCGTGCGTGCATGTATGGCTATCTTTGTATGAACAATGTAGAGCAAGGTGCCCGGTTGCGGAATTAATGATCGTGCTGCCGATGATGTTAGTTGTTTGACCAGCTATGCTAGCCGGAAAAACCGGGACTGCACAGTGCCAGTCACTGCCACATGATCATATTATTTTGTTTCTAACGGTGACGTGTGTCGGGCCGTGATAGCGAAATTGATGACACAGTGCAGGTAACGGCCGCTGGCGGTCGCCCTTACATAAGGCAGAGGCGCGTGTGGAACCCTCCTTCCAAGGTCCACTGCATCCCGTCCCTCGGGCAGTGTTCATGGCGACCGGGCCATTCCTGCTCACACGTGTGGCCATTTTCTGAGACTCGGAGCACGCGAGCGATGTGTCCTGTTGATATTGATGGATAAAGGTAATTACATGGCAGCCCCAGTGGTAAGTGGTTGACGTCGTTCACACTGCACCCTGCGACCCGAGGCATACCTCAGGGATCTGTCCTTGGACCAGACCTGTTCCACACCAGGTGACCAGTCGGGTAGCTCAGGAATCCTTCATGGGACCATTTCTAACACCAATTGAACTATGAACTGCTCGCTCGCAGTAACTATTGCAGCATAGAACACATTTTACAATGATGAAAAGTTAACGGTCATTATTTTCCGAGGGCGTAAGCGCTTACTAAATCTGATAAAGCTAAAAATCGGACCGAATTTTCTATATTTAAAACCTAGGGACTTGCGACAAAGGGCTGTGGAAGGGATATCAAGTGACATTTTTGCGATGTTTGGTCCGTATTTGTTAACGAGGTTACTTTCAAACTTCGTTGCCCCGTGATGAGCGCAAAATAATTCTGAGGAAATTCCTAATACCGTTGCATTCTGTCGCTGCATTTCTCGGGTGCCGAGTTGCAAAGGCCGAGGCTGAAAGCCCTCATCAGTAGGTGTCCTGCCTGGACGGCCTCAGCTGTTCGGGTGAAATATGCTGGACGGTTGAAGCGAAAATTACTTTTCAATGAAAGCGATTGTCTTTTGATTAACACGCGCAGTGGAAGGGTTGCGAGTACCAGGGCGAGTACTACGCCCAGTGGAAGGGGGGGGGGGCGGATGGCGCCCCCCCCCCCTAAGATCTCAGCTCCCAGTGGAGCTAGGAAGACGAAATTTGGAGGGTAGGTGGGGGCCCTGGGGAACTCTTGTGTGTGAATTTCATGACCCTAGGTCAATATCTTCAAGGTCAAATGAGGTCGAATGTGGTCAAATCTGCCATATGAGCGACTTTTTTGCGTTTACACGCCGATAACTCAAAAAGTTACCGGCCGATTTTCTTTTTTTCTTTCACTATACGAAAGAACATGCATTTGTGAGTATGTATGGTGAATTTCTAGTTAATCAAACAATAAATATGGCAGTTAGAAGTCTGCTAAGGGTAAAATGTGGCCGGCTGAAGCGGGATCGGCCGACGCGGGAAAAGCGGCAATCACAATTTTGTGTTTACACACTCATACATAACTCAACTTTTTTACCGGCCGATTTTCAAAATTCTTTGACCATAAGATTGCCTGTACATTTCTTAGTCTTCTCACCAAATTTGACGCGAATCGAATGTAATGAGCGATAAGGAGCCGAGCGCGATGTAAAGACGGAACCGTCCCGCCCCGGCACAGTCTACAATTCAGGCGGCGCGTAACGGCTAGCGCCGGCCGCCGCGCCGCCGCGGCGGCAGGATGTTTGACTTTACACCGCTATTACTAGAAAAGTTGCGAACCGATTTTCTTATTTCTTGCACGAGAGGATCCGCAATTCAATTCTGGACAGTTAGCCAAAATTTCACATTAATATTATGTTTGCGGCGCGAGTTATTGGCGAAAAACAGGAGGGGTGGGCGAAATCCGCCCCCCCCCCCTTCCACTGCGCGTGTTAATATTTTTGTGTTTCACGCTACATTGAAACTTGAAAGGTTTCATATATTCACCCTTTCATTTTTGCTGAGATATGCCAAACCCCAAGCCTCGTGCCCGCTGACTGTGCGTGTAAGTTACAAATATATTCAGCGTGCTGCTGAAGCTTGTACAGCATCTGTCACGACACTAGCAAGCATTTACACCAACCTATCCAGTTATTGTAAGTACATGACAACCACGCCACATGATAAATGTTGAAGAGTGTCGATGGAACTTGACTCCTTAAAGGGGACCGATCTGAATGTTTTTGGCCACGAGTGCTTATTTCAGTTTTTTTTTTTAAATGAAAAAACACAGTGCAACAATTTATTAGTTTTTTATTGTCTTTTTTGCAAGGGATTTATTTATAACGACTTCATTGCCTCTATGCATCAGTCATCATCATCTTCAGTCTTCATTGCATCAGTTGTCTGCGTCTCCGCGCTATCTTATCTTGTTATGAAAATGTGTTTGTTTATAACTTTTGCTCTATTAATCGAGAGCGAGCACAAACCCAATCGAGACTGTCGTTTTTGTCGTAAGTCATTATATCTTTATTATATCTTTATATCCGCTTCATTATATCTTCACCGTTCCTGCCGCCGTCTATGTCATCGCATTGCCATTTGTATCGTAGCTGAGTCCTTCCATCTTCCATAATCATACCATAACTCAGCTGGATCGTATCACCTCAAATTACGATTACAATCTGCATCGTATCGGCCCTGATGATGGTACAGATTGGCTGGCACAGATGCGTAACGTATCTCTCTTTCTGTGTCCTCAGCCCGACGTGCAGGCGGTGTCGGCAATGCTGGGCATGGGGGAGATACAGCGGGCGGCGGAGGCTTATCAGCAGCAGAGTCGTCAGCTGCAGGTCAGGGCACCAATACAGACGTGACGCGCTACTACGGGCGGTCGGTAGTTTGATAAATTTGGAAACACGAGTTCTCGTCACGATCGTGTTGTGATGGTGTGGTATCGTTGTACAGATGCTGGTTCTGATTTAGAACGGTGTCAACACTTGCATGTCCTCTGACGGACAGGCATGCAGCTGTTGTATCTATAGGAAAAATAACAATGTATTTAACCGGGTGTAAGCTCAGCGATTCTGTCGTGTAGAGTGAATGGTTTGTTACGCCCTCTCAGACAGTTTGACAGTTCGGCTCTCGTGTTTGTCAGCTGCCCACCCCACCAGACTGTGGGGAGTAAAGTCCCGTCAGTCAGCTCCTTATACGCCGCGACGCTGTGTAGGGCGCCGCGGCTGACCGTAGAGGCAGTGGCGGAGGTGTGTGGACTGTGGGTGTGTCGCGGTGTGACCCGCCCCTCTGACCCTGCCCGGCCGTCGGCAGGAGTCGGGTCTGGACGCCGACCAGCACGGCCGCCTGCTGGTCGCGCTGGCCGACCGGCAGACGGAGACGGAGCGGCGGCGAGCGGCCGTCCAGCACCGCCTGCAGCGGCTGCAGGCGCGCCGGCAGCGGCTCCAGCAGGAGCAGGAGCAGCTGGCCGAGGAGCGGGACGCGCTGGCCGGCCAGGAGGCGGCGCTGACCGCCGGCCTGACCCCCGAGCAGGCGGTGTGAGTGGCCGGGTCCCCGGGCACAGCCAGGGTGGTCCGCGCCTAACGGTCAGCAGAGTGGGTCTGTGCGGCGCGAGGTCTTGCATGTCGCCCGCCCCGATGCCAGGAGGATGGGCAGCCTGCAGGCCTTGGACGTGTCCATTAACCCGCGCCCCGTTGGGCTCTGCCGAGCAACGCGCCCGGTTGGGGGGGGGCCATTTTGGCCCCCCCCCTAAGATCTCGAGAACCACGCAACATATCGACAAGCGGTAAACGGCGTTGGATAGCCCCAACGGGGAACTACCTTGTGACCTAATTTTATTGACCTAGGTCAAACCGATGACGTCACAGGTCAGGTCAAAGGTCCAATTTTCACCGTTTACAGGCACTTCAAGAAATGCGTTGTAAAATCGAGTAAAATGCATTTCATTGAAAATCATCGATGGGGAAATGTTCTTCAAACACATATTTTGCTATTTGAGGTCACTGATACCAGGTCAGGTCACAGAGGTCAGGTCACGGGGGGGTCACAATATGAAAGTGTCGTGTGATACATGTTTTATGGTCCATTTTACATGACAAATGCGATTATATGGGTCAGGCAGCCTTTGGGGCCAGCTTAGATCACGTTTTGGTCAAGGTCAGGTCAAGGTCAGGTCAAGGTCAGGTCAAATTAGGTCAAATTTCAAAGTTAATATTTTTGCATAAAATGGGTATCGAATCGATGCAGCTCGTCACGGGGAGTTCAATGGTGGTCTTTGTTTTGCCGTACGTGGTCTAGAATTGCTAAAAATTGAGTTCAAAAATTTTACGTCATCATTTTTGAACAGTTTTTTCGCTATAACTTGGCCAAAAAACGAGATATCGATCTGAAATTTGGTATGTATATAGAAGAGCGCTGGGACTATCACATATATTCCGTTTTTTTTTAATTCGGGAAAATTTCGGATTTTTTCAAAGTTTTTCTAAAAAAATCAATTTTTTGATTTTTTTTGGGTCAAAAACCAAAAATTTTGAAAATCCGAGATAGCAGTTTTGTAGCGCCGCTTTTTGTCTACTAGACAATATAAAGAACTTTGAAATTGCTTGATAACTGTAGATTTGGTGAGCGTTTCAAGATTGCATGTTTTTTGCTCATTTTTGCTCGAACATGACCTCAGTTTGACCTCAATAACTCCTGACCTAAGGTGACCTAAGACTTGAAAGTTGGTGTGAAGGTGTCAAATTGATGCCCGGGAAGGTACTGAAAATTTGGCGGCGCTGCGCGCCGCCGTTTTCTTGCTATCCAGGAAAAACCACAGGGGGGGGCCAAAATGGCCCCCCCCCAACGGGGCGAGGGTTAATGTCAACGATTACCTGCCCAAACTGGCCTTTGGAATTCGAAGCCCAACCTTGGGTGACGACATTGTATCTGCTTGCGTGCATGGGAGGTTATCTCACTTTTCAAAACATGTCATGCCGAGAATATTGACAACTTTTGTACATCTGCACAACTGTATTCCTAACAATTTTTATAATTGCCATATTTGATGTACTTGTTATTTAGCTGAATCTACTTCGTTATGTACAATTATTTCAGCGCAGTTTTCCCTGTTGTACCGGCCAATGCGTGATACGGGGCATCTGATAAGCTGGGATGGCCACCTGATGAATTTCGTATTTCTCAACTGTCTCCATTTTGCAGGACGCTGGAGGCAATCCTGACCTCGTTTAAGGAAGCCGACACAATATTGTCCGAGGACCAGGCCTTCAAGGAGGAGTGCAAAGCGGAATACGCAAAACTTCAAGACGAGATAAGGTAGGGCATCTTCTTGAAAAAAGTTCAGCTGGACTCAGGACTACACGGCCGTGAAATAACGCAGGGCTAAAGGTAACAGCCTGTTGGTTGTTCAAGTGTGTGGCGCTTTACTAGGATGCTTCCGAACGTTTTCACTCTAAAGTGGCACATCATATGAATATATTGTATCCAACATATTCCAATGCGTTGTTGTACGGCTCACCGATTAAGTAGGTTTTACCAATCTCAACAGATGACTTTGACTGACGATTTTTAAAGGGACCCTCCCACCTTCAAAAAAGTTAATGGATTGGCATGAAAGTGATGTCGCTCGATTCAGAAAGAGCAAAAACGAATATCTACCAAATTTCGCCGAAAAATATTCTCCGGTTTTCAAGATATTAGACTTTTACTTTTGTTTACTTTTTTGGGATCTCCGCTGTTCCTGGCGACTTCATTTTGGAAGTGCGGTGTTCGCGGCAGATGTTGCGCGCAAATAGCATATACCACCACTGCTTTACAAAGATGTTAGTATAAGGTTTTAATATCGTTGGATCACCGCTGACGTCATAAATTCTAAGGGGGCATCTCAATGCATTAGCCCCTTAGAATCCGAAAACTGCCAGTTTGAAATTCCATATCTCCGAATTAAAGCATTTTTCGATGCTGTGACTTGTGAGCGCCCAAACCGGTATTTGCAGGCCATGGCCACCAATTTGGCTATCTCAACTCAAACTGATGTTAAGGTGGGAGGGTCCCTTTAAATACGGAGTGATCCAGGAGTAGACAGCAAAATTTAAACTTCCAGCTGGAGAGATTGACCAAGATTACTTTAGAGATTGACAAGTGACAACACATGAAAGCTACATTCCAAGGTTCATTGTTGTCTGGCAAATCTTTCCAAAGATACAGAAGCAAAGCATAACCACGACTGGTACCTCAAATTACTTGTGCTCTGGGTTGTAGGTACTTTCAGCACACCGGCTTGCTGTTGGTACTAAAATAGCAGTTTATTGGGAAACCTCGCCGATTGGAATCTTGATTTGAGCGAGCCTTTCTGGGACAGCTCTCCCCAAAAAAATCGTTGCTTACGGCCTTTGTCCTGGATGGTCATGACAGCAGCGAAAGTTTCCCCCAATTAATTTTTTAATTTATGCTGTACTTTGCTCGGCTGTCCTGTTGTCACCTTGACGCTTGATAAATGGCCTTTTGATGTTTCATGTTATTTTTTATTGTCACACTTTGTTAACCATATTTGTCTGACACCATATTATCATTGACATGTTAATTGTATTATGTAACTATGTAAAGAAAAAATAGAATATTGATGAAAGAAATTAGTCTACAGTGCGGTAGATATCCTGTTATATGAATGATGTTGGCATGGCGTGCTTCCTAGAACTGACCTGTCTGATCGCATGGTTATGTCTTTACTTCCTCGATATGTCTCTAAGATGGCCCTGATGCTGTTGCATTGGTCGCATTCTAATTGACACATTGCGATTAAGGATTCTACCGCCGCCTTTTCGGCTCCTTTGGCTTGTCACCCGCCTGCTACGTTTGAGTCGTGGTGCTTACCAGAGTTGAGGAGAAGGCGGGGGCTCTGGTGAAGACTAAACGGTTCCAACGCTGGCTGGTAGTGATGTCATTGGTCGCAAACTTTTTGGTTTCTGATCCGAAGTGGACGAATGGCATCGTGATCCGGCTGTTTCTCGCGTGCACCTCCGCGTTCCCCACTAACTGGGCTGGGGCCTCCTGTTCAGCGGAATCGACCGATTGTCGCAGCCCGATCACAGTGAAGATATAGGTACTGATAAAGCTGACCAGTGGGAGCCAACCGAGGCTTGTCAATTTTCTTATCGCTCTGATTATGTAATGTTGTTTACGTTTTGGGGAAGATAATAGGCACTTTAGGTTTTCTGAATAATCTGAGCACGGGTCCCTTTCACAGACAATGACAGAAACACGACAGTACAAGCCCTTCCACCAAGCGGGGCAGCAACTTGGCCGAAAAGCCATGCTTCACGTGACACTGTGAGACGGTATTCCAAGGAAGGAACAAGCACTAGAAAGTAGCTCATAACTAGATAAACCTAGCAGGGAAGGAACGGAATTGGATAAATTCTTTTTTCTGATTATCGTACAAATACCAGCGACATGCCACGTGTCCTATGCACGGCGATGTCTTGGAATGTGTCTGCTCATCTTTATTCAATAAGTTTATGAGTTTTCGTGGTTTCTGTTGCTGATTTCGCCCTCACGGCGTTCGCAGATCATGTGATGCGGTTTATTTTAACGAGCTCGGCCCCCCAGACGTCGGCCGTCGCTGTGATGGCTGTAGTCGTGGCCGTGTCGCAATGTATTCGGTCGTGTTTCTTAGGCCACAAGGGAAAACAAATAAGTAAAATGTACCGTTTGGCGGCACCATACCCTAGCGTGATATTTTGAGGGGACATGTAGAAGCGTCACCGGTGTCAAGGCATTCATTTTTCATTAAATCATCTTTGATGACTTCAAACCGAATCACATGGCTGTCACGTCAGTTCAATTGGAACCCCTTTCTGACATTGAATATATGTTAGCATTCAGATAAAAATCAACTAACTACAAATGGGCGCTGATGACCACAGTCCGGGCGCCCTAAAAACCCAAATTATCGACAGCATCATCAACAAACTACAATATGTTTCTAATCATTACGTTTCCCATGTTGCAGCGTGTTTGATTATGTTGAATTTCGCCATCAAAGCTTAACTGAAATTTTAACCCAAGTAAACCATTTATTGGCAATGATAACAGGGCGTATTCGAAGCTAACCGGTCGTTAGTCGCCAGAAATTAGGATAGGAATTTAGGAATTAGGCAGGAATACCCGCTGTGCTTATTCGTCATACAATATGCTGATATTTGTATCAAAAATCCCCCATAAAACCTTTCGAACTCGTGTTCTGCCTCGTTACGGCATCGCATGAGAGTCGTAAGCGCAGCATGGCGTGGTCCACTTTTTATCATGCTCGCATATCGGGCGTAACTTGAATTTGGAAGTGGTGCTTGTCGCTAAGTAACAAGACACGCGAAATCAGCTGCTATGCCCGAGGCAAGGTGTAAAAGGGAAAGATAGTCCTACGCAACCAATCCCAGGTTTAGACACGCAATATGCATGTACAAGGTGCCTGCTTGCGGTGCGGGACAAGGTTCTAATGGCAGTTCATCAGAAAATGACAGTTCATCGTGCAGTTCATCAGAACTGCACTTCATCAGAAAATACGTCGTTATAGTTGTTACATGCGTCAAATGGCCATGCAAAGTAATCAACTCATTAGCACACGCCTCACTAACCGGTCCTTCATTAGCGTAGTCTTTCCTTAGATTAACGGAAATTTCTGAGTATGAGCGGCCGGCCGGCCTGCCGGCCGTGGTCACGCTTTTGCGAGGCCTATATCTCAGCAACCACTTGACCGATTTACACGCGGTAATTTTTGTAGGGTAGCTTCATTCCTTCTACCAAGTATTGGACTATTCCTTCATTCCTTCTACCAAGTATTGGACTGAGCCGGTCCCGTAGCTCAGTTGGTTAGAGCGTTGGACTCCGCGTGGTGAGAGCACGCGTTCCCGGTTATGACAGTCCGGGTTCGAAGCGCGACGGGCGCTCGACATTTATGGGCCTCCTGACAGGTATGGTTGCGGTTGGTGGCAGGCCGTAGCCAGGCGAAGTCAGCGAGGGGACCGGCCGTGCGCGGCTTTGTGCGCACGTTAAACTTTGGACTCTAAATTCTGCCATAGAATCGGAATTGCGCGATCGGAGGGTAGAGGGCAGGGTCATCGCAACAAGCTTCGCTTAGCGGTGGCTCTGTCCTTGTGAATCCTTCCCATCAAAAGGTTCGGACTAAATTTATAAAAAAAAAACTAACCAAACCATTGATACGTGCTGACAAGGCGTCCTCTCCAGCATTTTGTTTGAATGCTTGATTTTTTTGTTGTTTGAATTTGTTTGAATGTCTACTCCTCTATCCTCTGCCAGGTGCTAGGTGCATGTGCGAAGCGAAGCCCGCGAGACCGAGAGAGCGAGACGAGACTTGTGCCGGCCACCCACCCTTTTAACCGCTCTCAGCCGTTATCAGATTTGCGTTCGATTGGTCCGGCCATTCTAGAGATGTAGGAGCATTATTTCCACTACCGGGACACGTGGAAATATAAATTTATTTATATTTCGAATTTATTATCCGATGGGCTCCCACCGATATGCCAAGTTTCAGCGCAATCGGCCCAGCTATTATTACGGAGCGAGCGAAGCGAGCGTAGTCTTTCCTTAGATTAACGGAAATTTCTGAGTATGAGCGGCCGGCCGGCCTGCCGGCCGTGGTCACGCTTTTGCGAGGCCTATATCTCAGCAACCACTTGACCGATTTACACGCGGTAATTTTTGTAGGGTAGCTTCATTCCTTCTACCAAGTATTGGACTATTCCTGATGCATGTGGGTGACCCCTTATGCACGTGTCACGTGCAAAACGAAGAGGTGTCCGTTTTGTAATTGTTGCAATATCTCGGTAACTACTTGGCCGATTGCGCTGAAAGTTGGCATGTAGGTAGGCACCCACTAGGCACTGCATATCCATGTGCCAGAGTTGGGGCGCTGCTGCACGTGCGCACGTGCAGGGGTCGTTTCCAGATCTCGAGAACGGCTCGACCAATTACCCTCAAATTTGGTACACAGTTAGGGACAGGTTAGTAGGGTGCCGTGCACAAGTCAGTTGGGACCCATTTTGCACGTGCGCACGTGCAGGGTGCCGCTTCCAGATCTCGAGAACGGCTGGGCCGATTGTGCCCAAATTTGGCACATCGCTAGAGACCGGTTAGTAGGGTGCCATGCACAAGTCAGTTGGAGGTACCCCCTCGCAATTTCGCACGTGCAAGGCCCACCCTCTCGCTCGCTCCGTTAGTCGCCCCAAAAGGCGTTATACTGGTGGATAATGGAGTTATTGTAAGCAGAAAAAATATTAGATTTGGCACGTGGCACGTGC